GTGGGTTCCAGGTACCTACTGCTACTCCTGATGGCCCAGCAGAACATTAATTCATTCCAAGCTGCCTCCTCTGCAGCGGCGGCCGCCAGACTGGAGCTCCCGGTTGTGCTGGGCAGTTCCGGAAGCCGATCAAGTCGGGTACTCTCGCGGCTCTAAACCGAAGACAGTGGAAGGGCAGAAACAGGCTCCTGCACTCAAGACAAGCCCCAGGAAAGCTGCTGAGCCAGAACCGAAGAAACCCCACGCTGGGCTCTCAACCAATGTACAGTATGGGACCCTCCAGTATCGAGGCCTCCTGCACTCAAGGTCGAGGACTTCTCACCCTTGACACCCGTCCAACCACAAGTGAGCAGTTTGGGTGTGGCAGTCTCCGGACCCTCCCCCTTTTCTGAGACTGCCCTACGGCAGCAAGTAGAGGAGTTCAAGCACCAGAACCAAATTTTAGCATGCCAAATTCAGGAATTATAAGCCAAGCAAGTCAAGTCATCCGAGCCATGTGCAGGGAGCCGATGTCGAAGACGAGGATGACGGACCATTCGTTCTATCTCTCCTTACTAGCATCTCACAGCAGGGTGCGGACATGGTAGTTGGATCAGTTTCCATTGCCAGACAAAGCGGTTCCCTCGAGTCCCTGGAGCGTAAAACTGAGCAGTTCGAGGAGTGGGGGCAGCCCTCCCCAATCAAATTATGTCAAAAGTTCACGAGTCCTTCCAAGACGTGTTCATGACAGCATTAACGCAAGCCCTTCCTGAGTTCAGGTCTCCGACTCAGTGCTTAAAGCAATGCAGCCCCAAATTAGCACGCAAATTAAAACCACCGCTAAGTGCGACCCTCCACAGTTCAAATGCAAAACAGCCTCCTGTCAGGCCGTTGAAAAAGGCTTTTCAGGACCGAATCCCTGTGTGCCGGCGTAGCTCCTACCCGGGGCTGCATTAGCTCCAGGCCCGAGTCGATCATCAACACCATAAAATATATACACCATAAAAGAAATACAGGACCACTACAAACTTACAAAAATTTGAGATTATCCAGTGGAACTGCAGGGGCTTTAAAGTTAGGAAAAAATGATCACACCTAAACCTTCACTTGCAGTCCCTAGGATACATGCCAGCACTGCTTGTTTTGCAGAAGCCCGGCATAGACGTTAAATTCTCTGGCTACAGTACTTTTCAGGGGGACCCTCGTCATGCATCCTGGTGAATAAATCATATACCGCTATTCAGGTCGTTTCAAATTTGAGTACCGAACAAGAATACACAATGGTCAGAGTACTTCCTCTCAGACGATGTGACCCGTCAATGCATGTCCAAAACATATACTGCCCCCCACGAAAGCCGCGAGTAACTTTCAGTGAAATCTTTGTTCGCGCGGTCAAACTTAGCAGACAATCTTGCTAGGAAGCGCAGCTATCCTTACCAACTGGTCCGATACAATTGTTTATTTAGCAGACGAAGATCCTTTAGTAATTGTTGGGGACTTCCATGCTCCCAGCATTCACTGGGGCAATCACTATGAGAAGACCAGAGGATATAAGCTTGCAGGGCTTATCTCTACCCTTCGTTTCACGCTGTTCACAGACCAGGCATACCCCCCTTGAGTGTGGAACTCTGGTAACACGTGACACGTGTCCGGACCTCTCACTTGTAAAAATACTAGGGATGCTACCAGGGAGAACTTAGGCGATTCTCTCGAGAGTGATCACTGCCTACTCTGGATTACACTCCTAGAAAAGCCACCATGCAAAAATGGGGTCAAGCCAAGCTGATCAATTGGCATAAATTCCGCGATGAGGTGATTTCTCTCGTACTTTCTTGTAGTGGCTATGTGGAGTAGGTTAAGCACATACACAACATTCAGAAAAAACACGTTACTACACTACAGATCACTGAAGAGATCCCCGCAGTAGACACGCACTTTCTGCACTTGTGGGAGATGCGCATAAGTTTAATGAAACATTAGAAAAAACAGAGAATTAATAGAAAACTATGCACTCGCATAGCCCAACTCACAAAGCAGGCTGCAGCATATGCTGCCAAGCTATCAGATTCAAGTCGAATAGCCCGATGCGACGCCGCAGCTCATCAGATGACTCGAGGGGGACATGGCGCCTCTCTTGTAGTCTTATAGACCTGTCTCAAACGAGAGGGGAGATGCAAAAGCAGCTCCGGAGGGATCTGCATGGGTACCAAGCGACGACGGCTCAGCTCGCGGATATTCTGTGTGATAGATATCTCTGTCGTATGGAGTACCCAAATGGGCAAGCGTACACATACTCTGGGAAATCTAACCAGCACCTCGATGCCCATTTTCAGCTGCATGACCTGAAATCTGCCTTAGCTAAAATTCGCTGAGTTATGGCTTCAGGATGAGACCGCACAACAGTCAAACTGTTGACAAATCTCCCTCACACACCCTACCTTCAATTGTTACCACTGGTTACCACTGTTACCAATGGTTAATACATTAACCAGATTTGGGATGGATGTCCGCTTCCTCCTAAATGAAAAATATCACTTGTGACTTTTACCCCCAAAGCAGGCAAGGCTGTAAATATGAAAAATCTGAGGCCTATATCACTGACCTCATGCGCAGGAAAGCTGCTGGAGACAATGGTACGGGATTGTCTGTCTTCATACCTGGAGGGTAAGGGCTTCTTTGCAGGCACCATGTTTAGGTTTCGCCCACACGTCTGCACAGGATGTCCTCCTCCCGCTGCACAGGGATGTCATACAACCACAAAAATGCAATACAAGGACAAGGCCATCCTTGCCCTTGATCTGAAGGGGGCTTTCGATAATGTTATAGCAGCACAACACCCGCTAAAGCGGCGGACAGAATGCGAAGCAAGACGGATCGATACAGACTTTGGATTCATGAACCAAAGCCATATCGTAGCATCCTGGCTAACTTGAGTCCCACCGATTGCGGAGCTAGGACTTTCGCATATGTGAAAGATTTACTCTCCAAGTGCCAGGCTTTTCTTTGAATTGAGGACGATGAATATGGCCCGTACATGATAGGAACACGAGGTACCCCTCAGGGAGCGGTGTTATCACTGCTCCTGTTCAACATAGCTATGATGCGCCTCTTAAGCCAACTGGCCCGGGCAGAAGGCACTCAACAGGCCGTATATTCTGATTATATTACAATTTGTACCACTGAGGGGAGCCTTATGTAAATGCAGGATCGCCTTCAGCGGGCCGCATCCATAGTCGAGGCGTATGCCAACGACTGTGGACTCCAGTGTGCTCTAACTAAATCACAGCTCCTGCATGTCAGAGCGAATCGAAAAGATAACACAGGTATACACATATCTCTGTCTGGTGTTCCCATCATAGAGGTGCAGAAGATCCAGATTTTGGGCCTTTTCATTCACCACAGACTCAAATGAGACCTTATCACGAAGCTCAAGAGAATAGGCGAACAGGTAGGGCGCATGATCTACCATGTTTCCAACAAGTGGGGTGGTCTGCGAGGCAGGGATGCGCTTCAGCTCACCTATGCCTTCATGACAAGCCGGATCTTCTACGCCGTGCCATACCTTCGCACTAACAAACAAGAACACGAAAGAACTGATGCCATTATCCACAAGGTTACAGAGAGGGCTCTGGATCTCCTGGTGGCTCCCACACAAAACTAAGGGTGTTGGGTGGGCTCAACTCCTACCAGAAGTTGCGGGAGGCGTAACTCATAAATCACTATATGCGACTTATGCAGACACCCCCCGGGCGCCGCCTGCTCAACCGCTTACACATTCAACACACTTGCACTTCAGAGGAGGCGGAGCGTACTCTTGAACTTTGGCGCCAAATGCTCTGGCTCTCTCCACTGCCTGCTAACATGGACATGCACACGCATGAAAGAAGGCGACAAGCGCGGGCTCGAACGCTTGAAAGCCAACATGGTTCCCAACCCAGTGTATACTACATAGACATAGCAAGGCCGACGACCAAGGGATTTTACACAGCTGCTGCAGTTCACCAGGGAATGCACGTCAACGGGCTCTCCTTCAGAGCACAAAATTCAGAGCGAGCGGAGGAAGTAGCAATAACGCTTGCTGTCGCAAATCGTGATTCGAAGACAATAATAGCAGAATAAAAAAAAAGCGTGTGCTCACTACCTAGCAGGGGAGATAATCCCCCTTAGCTAGCCATATTCTAATGAAACGGGCTGTCCCTGATCTAACCCCGAAAGACATAATTTGGGCTCCTGGCCGCCAGGGTTTATGAGGTAAAGAGGCTATTGATGCGGCCGACCGAGCGCTTACCCACTAGGCTCCTCAACCCAGCTCTTATGACTCCGAGGCCAATACACCGCTGCTGTGGTTCAGAGAAATTATTTCTTATTACTGAGACACTGACCTCCTTTTCCCAGCTCCTGCAAAGGGGCTGAATAAAAAGAATGAGTGAACTTTAAGGCGCCTGCAGAGAGGTGCTCTACTCTGTCCTGCAATTATCAAACACTACGACCCAAGCACAGATGTGCAATGCCCACACTATGGGAAAACCCCCGAGACATCTTCCACATGGTGTGGGCATGTGCGAAAAATTCCCACCTGCAGTCTTCTGCCCATTCCCGAGAGGCACGAGAGACTGCCCTCTTTAACTGCTCCTTGCTGGAGTCTCAACAAACTCTGGCGAGACAGCACAAGTCAGGGCCTCGTCAAGCGTTGTCCAGGACAAGGGACTTTGACCATGTAGGGGGGTCATGATATGGCCCACAAATTTTTTTTAAGGCTAAGTGGTTTCATCTCTCTCCTATTATCATAGAATTTTTATAAAAAATCTGTACTTGTTAATGTTTAACTTCGCGTTTACATGACCATGTATGATCATCATTGCAAATTAACTTTTATTTATATGTAGTGAACCTTTGACATTGCATCCAAGATTGCATCCAAGAACCTTTGACATTGCATCCAAGCTTAGCCCCTTGTGGCTGCAGCATCCCGAGAAAAATTTAGATGAAATGTCCTAAAATACACAGGTAGACCAAGCAGACACAGGCACCAAGCAACTTTTATTTGTTCAGTGGACATAGTACCAAAATGCAACACTTTACTTTGCTGGCCAGGGTTAACTGCCTTGCATTGCATGAACAAAAGTGCTCACAAGGAAGAGACTGCTTCCAAGTCAATATACAGACACACAACACTCTAGGTAAAAGTATTAAATAGAACTTGGACAATAGTGTGCTTTCACAGGAAATATATGTGGAAATGCTTGCTCAAAACGTTTGCAACACACACACAAAAAAACAGGGCAGTTTGGCCCTTTTTGTAACCTAGATGAGTATCGACAGCCATATCCAGGAATAGATGTAAAGTACATAACACAAAAGAAAGCTGCTAAAGGCACTCCATAGTGTATAAATTGATAACTAGTGTCCTGTTCAGTGGCTCAAGACATCATTAAAACAAGCAACATAAAAGCAGTTAGCATACTCGACTTTTATTAATTATATAGTCTGCACTACACACTGTTGAATATACAAAATATCCAACATAATTCTTGCTATAGCTTAGGTTCAGTAAACTGCACAGATCCTGAACAGATTAGATGTTGGGTATAAAGGGTTAGCATTCATTTGTAACGTGCACACAATTCAAGTCGATTTTAGTTATGTACACAACCTTCATATAATCATGTATATACAGATGTACATGCCAGAGAAATTAAATATTTCTAACAAAGAAAGACTTGTAGGCCTACTAATGAACACAGTAAAAAATATATGTATATCTATGTGTATATGTGTGTGTGTGTGTATATATATATATATATATACATAAATAACAGTAAAAAGAGGCCAGTAACCAAACTCAAAAACTTTATCTATGCATACAAGAACACAGGTGAAACAACAAAGTGTAGAAAGAGTCCCTTGAAATGCTGACCCACCAGGAAAGAGTTCTGCAGAGAACACAGCAACTAAAGTTCCTGCTGCCACACAGCGTAGGACATGAGCGAATGGAGGTAGGGGTAGGGTTATTGCTCAGCTTCTGTAAGTGAAGGAAATTGCTTTCATCTAATAGCCCTGTCAGAATCTGCAGTGGGGCCCTGGGGCAGGATTGGTGGGATGTACCAGCACTTCTTAAAAAAAAAAAGAGAGGGAAAGAATAAGAAGGAGGAAGAGAAGAAACAGTAAAAAAAAAAAGCTCCTACTTTTCCTAAGAGATAGGAAAAAAATTTAACCACTTAGACTGTGCCATGGGTGCTGATGAACCACAAAAATGCCAGCACACATCAAGCCCTCACAGCACATTGATGAGGTTCCCACAGTGCTAAGGCACACACTACAAAAAAACTAAGGTTATGCCTTTTTGTCATTTGGCACAAGCCAGAAAACCATGCCCCAGCTAGTGGGGGAAAAAAAAAAGAGCTGGAAGAAACAAAAGGCAGGAGGAATGAGGGGGTGGGGGCACACGTGTACACTTCCTGGTGCCTGAACACAATACCGCGCTGCCACAGAATCAAGAAAAAGATGGGGGCATCCAGAGTGGGGAAATAGGACAACCGTGCTCCGGGGACAAAAAAGAAAAAGACTAATGTCCTAAAAGTGATCAAAGTCATCCCATGAACAATCATCAGTAGTAGTGTTGCCCATATCCCACGAGTGGCGGCCCAATTCAACAGTCGGTTGGCCCACCTCGACTGTGTGGCAGCCCGCGTCTGCTGTGTGGCGGCCTGCGTCAGCTGTGTGGCGGCCTGCGTCAGCTGTGTGGCGGCCCGAGCCAGCTGTGTGGCGGCCCGCACCAGCTGTGTGGCGGCCCGCGCCAGCTGTGTGACGGCCCGTGTCAGCTGTGTAGCGGCCTGTGTCGGCTGTGTGACGGCCCATCTCACCAGTGCGGCGGCCTCGACCTGTGCCACCTTGGTTGTAATGACGGGGCCGGCCCCCACCACCATATCCACCCCGGCTGCCGCCACGGTCTGGCCCTCCATAGCGCGAGTCATCCGAACGACGACCGCGGCCGCCACGAGGGTAGTTGCCTGAACGAGGGCCACCAGGTGACTGGCCAGTGTTGTGCCATGAGAGCTAATGGGGTACACTTTCGGAGAACGGCCATCTGAGGCACGATTATAGCCACCACCTCCCTGCATGAAACGAGCATCTTATCAACCAGCCAAATCAATAATTTGAAATGTCCAATTTCTGTGTATATTTAATAAAAGGGAGAAGGCTAGTTGATATGGCTCCACAATTTAAAAAATAGGTAGTATGAAACAATGATAGAGCAGTACACAAGCCACCACATATGCTCACTTGCAACTCACAGTTTGTCAAAAGAAAAATATTAGAAGGCCGGCAAAGCTAACTGTGCAGTCGCCATGAGTGAGCACTTCCCACTTTATAAAAATCAGAATACAGAGAAAACTAAGAAGCCACAGCAGAAGCATCAACACAACAAAAATATAAAAAAAAACATGTCACAGTTATGCCCGATGTGCAGAAGTGCTTAAAGTCTTCAAAGCCACAAGTTTTTGTTTAGGAAGTGCTGTGTTTTTTTTTTAAATGCTGCAAATAAAGTCAACAGGATATTCACTGCAGTTCACAAGAAACATGACAAGAATCAACAGCCAAAAAAATTAATGTAGTAATAAGCACCAGAAAGAGTATTGTTCAATATCAAGAAGCATATTATGAAGAGTACTCCAGAGTAACCGGATGGACTACTGTGCTGTGCACTTCTCCTGCAAGGGCAAGCATCGTGCAGCTCCTTTCAAGTTAATTGCATCCAGTGACTTCCCGGTCGAATGTTTTCTTTAGATTCAGTGTGCATCTTGTGTTCTGGCACGACTGACTTTACCCTATCCTTACTAAAGGCAGCTGTCCCTTACCTACACAGTTCACAAGAAACATGACAAGAATCAACAGCCAAAAATTAATGTAGTAATAAGCACCAGAAAAGTATTTGTTCAATATTCAAGAAGCATATTATGAGAGAGTACTCCAGAGTAACCGGAATGGACTACTGTGCTGTGCACTTCTCCTGCAAGGCAAGCATCGTGCAGCTCCTTTCAAGTTAATTGCATCCAGTGACTTCCCTGTCGAATGTTTTCTTTAGATTCAGTGTGCATCTTGTGTTCTGCGACGACTGACTTTACCCTATCCTTACTAAAGGCAAGCTGTCCTTACCTACACAGTTTCCACAAATACTACAAAAAAAACGAGCTAGGCTCATCCCCCTTGAAACAAGCATTTGGGGGCACTGCACTTAGACTACCTTGATTAATATTGCTCTGTTCTCTGTACAAAAAAGGAAAAAGCCCACATTTGCCAATGTTTCCTGAAATAACAGCTTTTAGTTGTCTTGAGTTTGTGGCATCAGCTAGAAGTAGCAGCATAGTTGCTCTAAATCATCAGATTCGGACGACCACTGCATTTTGATGCATCAACAGAGAACGTTCACAGATGTAACCAACTCCGATCGGCATGTCCAAGGCTTGTTTTTAGAGATTCATGCCCCTGCGCAAGATTTCTTTAATTTCAAAGGTATTTCCTTCCTCAAAGACTGGAGAGAATAGGGCACTTCTCATTCTAGAGTGCAGCGACACCCATATTATGCACATCTTCAAATAAATAAATGAACCTTTAACATGGCACCTTGCAAATGAAGTACCTTTGAATAGTTTTTTACATTTAAAGATATGTAGAATGAAACAGACAAATAAATAGGTATTCTTGTATTGTTTTCGGCTTTAAAAAGAAAAAACAACTCTGTAGAGAAGGGTAAAGAAGCCCACAACACTTTTTAAGCACGGTCAGAAAACGCTGCCGATTGGTAGTCGATAGGCTTGTGCGAATATTCGAATGCTTTGAATATTCGAACGAGTAGTGGAGTATTCAAATTAACTTCGATTCCAAATTTAAATTATTGAAAATTTCAAAGTATTCCCATAATCCCCATGTAACCACCTGTAAAAATGGTTTCACTGCAGTATAGGAGTGCTAAACGGCAAAAGCACCCATTCAAAAGAAATCCACTTTGCCGCGAATCTCTTTTTCAAATTTAAAAGGGCCCTGAAACAGTTATTGAGCATGAACACTGCTGATAGGTAGTCGAGGCTACCAAGAATAGGCAAGGCAAATATAGCACAGTACACCAGCCTGAAATTGACAACGAATTCTCAAAGTCAGCTTAACATTGTTGACTTCCCCCGGCAAATGACACTACAAGCTAAAAAATCGCTTGTCACAGCCATTGGCTGGACATGAACATGGCACGCCTTGTCGCTACTGGGGCTGCCGTGGGAGGCCTCCGCTTGTCCACGCATACACAGCGATGTTCCGTGCAGGGAATTTTTGCCTGTCATTTAGAGCCAAGGAGAAAGCTTGAATATTCTAGATATTGCAGGGAATTTCAGGAATGGTTAAATCCTATGACGACTTATAATTAGCAGTCATAGTGCACCTTCATCTGTTGTAATCAGTTCCAGCGCATGCACCACACAAGCAGAGCCCTCGAGATTTGTTTGATATTTACGCGGAGTGATTTCTAGCTCACTATTGGTGTTAAACTTGAAGCTTACAATGTGCAGCGTACTAACAGTATCTGAATTAATAAAGCGATGCTTTTGTGGTGTGGCAGTGGAGAGGCAAGTCCCGATTTAAAAAGTCCCAGCACCTCAGACATGTGTAATTATAGACTGTGTGTGCGTTGATGGGGGCAGAAATTAGTACTGCTGTGCAAAAAAATATGCTGGAAATTTTGTCAATGTTTGCAGGAAAAAATCCCCAAAATAGGAAATTTTCATGTCTCTGAATGGGAATTCTTCTGCCTAGTACGGAACATCACTGCACGTATGTGCGGGATCGCAATGAAGGGCCGCGTATTTGAAGAAAAAAAAAATAAAAGAGGAAAAGTGCTCAAGGTCAGGAGGGACGAATGACGTTTTTCCTTTGCTTCGAGCTTTTCGTCAGAACGAGAAGAGAGAATTCAGTTGCAGTGTGCAACAAATATTTGGAACTCCACTCACACTGGACTGATTCTAAAAATTTTCCAGTCGTAAATTCGCAAGGCAATAAGCTTCTCTAGAGGCTCCATGGCTACTTAATAAAGTAGTGCGGGGGTCCTTTGAATGAACATGTTGCCCTCAAATCAATTCATAATTTTATTATGCTTAAAAGCTTGTTTTGACGGCTTACATGCCCCAAGTATAATAAATTTTAAAACATTACATATTTTACAGGTTACCCCCAGCATCCTACTGAAACTCTAATCCCGCTACTACTCAAGGTTGTTTCAACTTCCTTTGAACGAAAAAAAAAAAAAGTCGCAGATTTGCCCAAAGGCGAAGTAATGAACGCAATATCAACAAATTGGACGGTTGATTGATTGATTGATTTGTGGGGTTCAACGTCTCAAAACCACCATACGATTATGTTATGACAGACTCCATAGTGGAGGGCTCTGGAATCAAATTGGGAGGTCACGCTCAGAATGGAAAGCAGATCGAAACGTTCCCCGCGTTTCTCACACACAAATGACGCATGCAACGTGCTCACAGGTACAGAGGAAGAGGAACGCGAATAAGCATCTCGATTGTTACTTTGCTGTGTCTGAAAAGCACGCTCTTTTTGCAAACGGAGACTGTGCACGATTGAAGTGAGCTTTGTGCGCCCAGTAACTACAACAGAATCGTTCCGGTGAAAGCTTTAGGACGGCCAAGACATAAGATGCTCCTAACCGCGTGATAAGGGTGTGAGAGTATGCGTTCAGGGGTTTATAACCACCCACTCCCCTCCGCGAGGCAAAGTACAAGGGGGAAATGAAGGCACGCGCCACCGTGCGCTCACTGCACCACCTTGCTATTAATGCCGAAAACGCGATAGCTCCCTTCAGAGATGCCCATCACCAGCGGTAAGTAGTAGATATATATGGCTTGCCGTTTGAGCGCTGAAGGACGTGCTTCTCTGTAGCTCAGTGCTTAATGCCGCGCATTCACAACTTGGAGGTTCCAGTTTGATTCTGCGCGCCGAAGTCTTTCTTGGAATTTTTTCGTTTTCATGTTTTCATATATATAGACATGTATACATATATGGTACATGAAATCGATGCCTATGCCGACGACGGTGGCAAAATCCAGCCGAGAGTGCCCACATAATTGCCATCACAATAAAAGACATTTGCATAGAGCCCCTATTTCAAGTAGTAAAAAATATTGTGCAGGTTAGTTAGGTCATGATACGTACTCCAAATTCTTTTCATGTCCAATACATACCATTTGAATTCGACTCGAAATTATTAGACCAAAAGCACATGGCCTGAATTTACAATAAATTCTCAAAGTCAGCTAAAAATTGCTTTCTCTAGACAAATGAGGGAACAAGCTAAAAAATCGCTCATCACAGCCACTATACCAGCAATCGGCTGATTTGAGCATGACGCTAGGCTGTTACTGGACCTGCGGCGGAAGGCCGCTACTTGTCCACGTGTGTGCATGCAATTGCACTAAAAAGCAGAGTATTCAGGGGAAAGGGGAAAAACAAAAAAGAAAAGTGAAAAGTGTTCAAGCTCCTGAGGCACGCGTGACATTCTTTTTTTTTCCGTGACATTTTTTTTTTCCCAGTGCCATCCCTCCCTGTCCCAGTGCTTTCGTGGGGACTAGAGAAGAGAGAATGCAATTGCAGCGTGCGACAAATTTTTGTCCGCTAGTACTGTACTGGACAGACTACCGAACAAAATAAATGTTTTAGCACCCGTGAATTTGAAATTCATCAGGCAATAAGCTCCTTTATTGAATTAATTCCAAGGCTACTTGAAAAAGTGTTGTATCGCCTCTCCATATGAACAGTGAGTGGCTGTAAACACTTGTTTTGAGGTAAATAAAGCACTATGTCTCATCATGAGTAAAAAGCTTGAAATGGGTCACTTTGAAGATTCACTTCGAAAACGTTTTTTCGAAGAAGGCATGCTTCCACTAGACTATATTTTTGTTCGATTATCTCCATTCTAGACAAATCTTTCAGTGACACTTTTCATTCTTAGATCTTCATTAATATTGACTAAACCAAGTGCTAAGCTTTACCAGATAATGTCACTAACTCTTCTGTAATTCTTGGATCTTCAAGAAGCACATGTGCACAAAATGTG